ATGGTGGGAGTGAAATTATACGCACATATTTTTCAATGTTTCTTGTTTAGTCGACGATCAATCTCCCCATGAAGAAGAATATTGTCTCTGCGAACTGCTCACTACGTATTGACTTCAAACCATTATCCCCTTGCCTCGACAAGAAAACAAAAACGAGACAATTTGATTTTTAAAAGTTTGATTGCCAACAAATGTTTATATTATCGATTGCGGGCTGCTCTTATATATTTCATCGCGTGTTTCTATCAGTTATCTTCAAAGAGTAAACTTCTGCTACCATATATATCAAAGGTCAAGTATACTCGATATACCACAGACAGTATTATCTGAAATGAAATGTTAGAGTTTTTATTTGTCTTAGAACTCGTTTCACGACCAAAAATACTTAAGTGGATGTCAAAAACCACACAGGGTTGGATGAACAACTCAGAATGCCACAGAGGTAATTTTCACTCAACTTGATAAACTGGCGGGATAGTCTATTTCTTTATCTAATCAACACTCGTGATCTTTCCTAACTCTGAAGGAATATGAATGATCTGTATCAGGTCATTTGTCCATTTATAGCTAGGACGTGATCACTCCTTACACTTTTTTTGTTGTTGTTTATGACGCTTCTGCACGTGGCAGCGCTGATAGTCCTTTGGCAATATCAACACTGCAAAAGTGTCGATCAGTAATGTTTCAAAACCCCTTGGCAGACAATATAAATTTAATTTACTACATTAGTTGTTGGCACAGAAGTAATTTGTGAGACCATGAGAAATGTGCAGGTGCCATTTGATGAACATACTAACAACCCTTGCGACCCTGAGCCTGCCCGCAATCTACGTGTGAATCCTTTGCGCGCATTCTTTAAGCTGCCGCATACAATTCTAAAATTGCTTACAAAAGGTAAAGCCACAGATGAGACCATCCGTTGCCAGTTTATAGTACACAAAATTTCTTATTGCGTATACCTATCTATTGCTAATGGCCATTGACAAAATGGCAATTAGCTAAAAATACCTTGTACGTCCTTATGTCCTTAAGCAGCAAGATAAACATCTGTGAGCTTCGTGCTGGTAATAAAAGCGCGTCTAAAAATAGATAGACGTTCGACTAGTTAGCAGCCAAATAGTGCTGACATATGGTTTTCCTTCAGTTAGCTAGCAACAACATCAACAAAAACAATACATTTACATACAAATAAGGAAGTAATTGGTAGATCATAAAAATACTGGGGAAAGGTATGATGTCATATTCTTGCGCAAGCTCTGTCAAACAGCCAGTAGTGTCAATATCTGCCCATTTATTTCCAAATTCTCATGGAAACGACTTAAATGTTTCTATTATTATCTAAAGCGCTTACAATATTGGCAGCCCAAAAAGGTTCTCATGTCGTCGTTTCTGATCTCAAATCATTTGCACGCTTAACTGAAACTGACTCACAGGAAGTGCCGGCAACATAGTAACAAGAAATATCAAGAACAAGCAACAGAAAATGAGACCTTTAATCAGTCTTCTTTGCCTTTGTGCAGTTCTTGTGGGGCAGCTCGTAGCTAGTCCCTTGCCTCAATAGGGTAAGTTGTAATATAACAAAGACATATTTTATGTTCACTGTTTAGTACATCCTCCAAAACCATCATGCTCGGTTATTTTCAACTTCCCATTCTTGCATTTCATACAGCCTTTCAATGACTAACAATTGTTTTGTTCTGTATCACAAAGCTATTTCATGCTAGTAAACAAATCAGTGAGATTTTGTCTCTATCGGATATCTCCTCTTCATCCGTTGTATGTTTGAAAAGTAAGAATTTTAAATAAAATTTGCAACCAGTTTTATTTGTACGAATGAAGTGCAATTCGTATCAGTCAAGGATAAACAACCAAAGACTGCGAACGAGTCTACTCGAAGTGTAGATTAATTTTATTCTTTATAAAAGAAAGAAAGAAAAAAAAACAAACGAGAAAATAATTTTGCTGGAGGTTAACCCATTCGCAGGGAAAATACAACTGGGTGAAGATTGTTGATCACCTTTAATCGTATAGGTCTTGCGGTAAGCTGTGCAGTCCTGTTGATAACGCCTCCAGATGATCATAAGGCGGATTTGACAGCATCCACAGTTCAACATTTTAAGATGATACTTAACAAAATAATTCTGAATTATCGGAGGGTTCTCGTTCAAGGTGAATTGAACCGAGCCAGTAAATATGCTAGCTACACAGAGAGGTTTCAATTGAGCGTTGTAAAACCAATCGTAAAATCAAAATCAAACCAATTACTTACTAATTAAACTTCTCAGACAATCTCAAGCAGCAATAAAACCAAAACCAGAACAAAAGTAACTGCCTGACTACTTTTGACACTTAATCATAAGCCACTGTATTTTATTAACAGAAAAAACAACAGCAACAACAACAGCAACAGAAAAACAATATGGCATTTCTGTGTTATTCATAATTCAGGCCGGGTCAGCTGTCGCCACAATAAAAATAGTCATTGGGGAATAGATAGACAATTTAAATCCAGGGAAACGGATGTGTTTTTGACTTTTGACTTCAAAGGTTTTTGGAGGGAAAATCATGGATTTATATAGTTTAGTCGGAAAGTGAAAATAACATTTTGTTGCTATTTTGGTGCCGTTGTTTTCCCCCCAAGAACCGTTAAAATAAAATAACAAAACAAAACAAAACAAAACAAAAAACAGACACACAAACAAAAAACAAAGAAAAAAAAAAAAACATGCGTTTGTTTATCATGTTGCAAAGTTTGAGCTCTGTTAGATTAAAAACCCAAAAGTAGTTCCCTAATGTTCATTTTTTGCAATCGCGACAGCTGACCCGGTATGATTGTATCTATTTATGAGTTACCCTATAATTAACCCTATCGTTTCTCCCAAACATCACACATCAGAACCAACTGAAGAACCAGAAGGAACAGAACCCCCAGAGATATAGAAACTCCAGAAGCAACAGAAGCCCCAGATGATATAGAAGCTCCATAGGAAACAGAAGAACCAACTGAAGAACCCGAAGGAAAGTAGTACAGTAAGAAGAGGCGAAGACTGGCGGACGACTAAATGTCCTCAACACGATCAGCAACAATTTTACATTGAGTAAAAAAAGCTAACTTGTACAGTCATAACCTGCAAACATTTTTATATACATAAATACATAGCACAGCCACCACAATGAAAGCTTTATTTTTCGTTATTTCTTAGCCTTGTGTTCATTTGATTAAATAAACATGTAATAACTTTTTTTCCCTTCCCTTTCCAAGGCGATAGTAAAGACTGCAGAGCTCCCAGCCTTTTGTAATGTCTTTTCTTCTAATTATCAACTGTTTGTTCCTCATTTCGCCGTGTCCGTATCCATGTGTATTTATTTACAATATAGTATACATAAACAGCGGAATTCTCCTCAATTCGCTTGACTGTTGATCGTCTAAAACATTTAATCACGGCTTTAATCATTCGAAAAATTCATACAGCTCGTCAATTTTGTGACTCTCATTGTCTTTTTTTTCGACAGTCGAGTATGGTTAAACCTGTATGAGAGGAACCCTCCGGAAATGAGCAATTT